TAACATTGTAACGACCCGGCCAATCGTTTTGAGCATTTGCATTTCCATTCGGTGATTTGAGGTCGTGAGTAGTTTCATATGATGTATTATATAACTTGCGTGTATGGTCGGTTTTGGTTTTCGAGTGGTTCAGGGTTGATTTGGAAGAATGATTCTCACTTTGGAAGTTTTGAGTTGGAAGAGTTGACCAAGTTTTACTTTTGTGTATTTGACCTCGGATCGGAGTTTTGATGATTCCGTTAGGTCCGGATGGTTATTTCTGACTTAGGCATTTGCCCGAATTCGTATTTAGATGTTTCTAGAATGTTTTGGCTTGAAGTGGCGAAAGTTGGCAATTTGAAGGTTTGAAAAGTTTATAGGTTTGACCGGGAGTTAACTTCGATGTCGTCGGGTTCAGATTGTTGTTCCAGGAGTTGGAATAGGTTCGTTATATCATTTGGAACTTGTGTGCAAAATTTGAGGTGATTCCGGGTTGTTTAGACGTGTTCGACGTAAGTTTGGAATTTGGAAATTTGAAATAGTTCATTAAGCTTGATTTGAGGTGCGATTTGTGATTTTGATGTTATTTCGGGTGATTTGGGGCCTCGAATAGGTTCATGTTGTGTTTTTGGACTTATTGGTATATTCGGTCGGGGTATTGAACGCCTCGAGTGAGTTTCAGACGGGGTTTCGATGGGCTCGGGTGAGTTTCGGATGGGTTTCGAACCATTTTGGGGCATGTTGGTTATTGCTGGTTGGCAGGGATATGGTGTGGTCGCACCTGCGGAACTATGGGCGCAGGTGCGGTGGCCACAGATGCGGACGAGAGGGCGCAGAAGCGAGCTGGCTGAGAGCTGGGTGTTGCGCATTTGCAATGTGTTTTCTGCAGTTGCGGCTTCGCAAGCGGGAGGTGGCTTCCGCAGGTGCGGGTGGTTGGGCAGTGAGTGGAACTCGCGGATGCGACGCTGCAGATGCGACAGTTTTGTCCGCAGATGCGGAGATGCCTGGGCAGATCTCATATATTCGAGGGTTGAGTTATTTTATCACATTTTGAGATTGGGAGCTCGGTTTTGAGCGATTTTTGAGGTGATTTTCTCCACTTGGATTGGGTAAGTGTTCTTGACTCGGTTTTGATTTTTATTGTTGATTCCATCTTTGATTTTGGCATTTGAGTGATGAATCTAAAAGAGAAATTGGGAATTTTGGTTAAAACTTTTCTAAAGTGAATAATTTGGTTTTGAACATCGATTTGAAGTCGGATTTAGATGAAACTAGTATGGTTGGACTCGTATTCGAATGAGTTGCCGGAATTTGTGGGTTTTGTCGGGTTCCAAGGTGCGGGCCCGGGTTGACTTTGAGTATTTGATTAAAGATTCGCCATCTATTGTTTGGGTTTGATTCCTATGGCGTTATTTGATGTTTTTGAGTTGCTTTTTGCTAGTTTCGAGCCGTTCGGAGGTCGATTCGAGCGGGATGGCGCTTCTAGAGTATTGATTTTGCTTGCTTGAACTAAGTATTTTACCTAACTTTGGTTCAGGCACTAGTTGCCTGAATTATTGGTGATAACTACATGCTATGGGTGGGGCACAGGTGTGGGGTTGAGTCGTGTACGTGCACCGGGGTATTATTCATGCTCGGGGTAGTGCTTAGGCTACGATATGCCTTGAATTGATTGCTAAACTTCATGCTGTGATGTTTCTTATATTTGTACCCCATTTGTGAGCTATTTGAACCATGTTTGAGGTTACATAGAGGTTAATCTCCTGACTTAACTTGATAATTGCTACTTTCGTGATGTAATTACCTGATTTGAGCTGTGGTAGCATACGATGCACATGCATACACCTTAACATGTCACTTATACCAGTCCATGAGTATGAAATTTGATATTCATTGATCATGTACATGTAATCTTGCATATCTGCCTTCTGTGTGATATGAATTGGACTGGTAGCACGTGAATACGCCGTGTGGATTGTGATTATTGGCACGTGAACACGCCGTGCAGATTATGATTATTGCCACGTGAATACGCCATGCAGATTGTGATTATTGGCACGTGAATACGGCGTGCGGGATATTATGGCACATGACTACGTCGTGCAACGTGTGGATAAATATCCATCCCCTAGGGTCATCCTCTTATGTTTCTCTCTTGATGGTGTACACGCGGTATGAGGAAAGCTGATCAGTGGTTTGGTTCGGTTATTGTGTTTCTAAGGAAAACTGGCCAGTTTTTGATTAGGTTATTGCATTTTTTCTTTACTTGCAATTTCCTTGGATGTATACATGGTTTTTATTGCATCTTTTCTCTATTTGCTAGCTCCGGAATGTATACATGTCTTTATGCATATCTTCTTTATATGCCACCTTACTTGATGAGTTGGGACACGGTACATATCGTTCTTATATGTGAATCCGTGTGACTTGACTTGTTTAATCACGCATATCTTCTCTATATGCAAGTTTGATGATTGATTGATATTAGACGCATATCTTCTCTATATGCTGGATTATTAACCGAAAAAAGCATGTTACATTATCTTTGGGCACTGAGGAGGTTTTATCTGTGATTTATGACTTGATAACATTTTTGCTATGTACTTGCGAGATATATGAATTGAACATGTTATTAGCGAGTATCATTTTTAATTCTTGCCACTATTACCTCGACGAGTTTAGTTATGATACTTGCTGAGTACATGTAGTCGGTTGTACTCATACTACATTTCTGCACCTTACGTGCAAATCTTGGAGCTGAGATGCTGTGGATGACGGGAGCTGGCACTGAAGATGTACCTGCTTTCCGGATATAGCTATCACTTGTCCTTGGTAGTTTTAGATTCGAATTCTGTTTATGTACATTCCAAACAGATGTTCTATTTATTTTCATACCATCTTTGTAAATCTAAGTCTTAGTGGTTCATGACTTGTACTACCAATCCTTGAGTTATAGTATGAAAATTCAGTTATTTCACTTATTGATTTCTTATTATTTTCATTAGAATTGTGTTGACTGTATTTTGACTTACCTAGCGGGTTGGATTAGGTGCCATCACGACTAGGTGGATTTTGGGTCGTGACAAACATCTTCATCTATCATTTCATTCTCTTGAAATAACGAGCCTAGACATCTAAATTGTTTGCATTTTGGCACCGTATTCCCGTCTAGTCTCACCTCAACTTCATTGTTGTCATGCTGACCAAACTTGCAGTGCATGTATTCAATCTTACTCCTACTTATCCTAAAGCCCTTGCTCTCCAAAGACATGAAATTAAGAGAATACCTAGGATTTGGCTTAGGCAACTCCACTCTACATCGGGTCATCATGGGATGATTTGAACATAAGAGGAGAGTGACATGCGAGAAGAACGGAAGAAAAAAAACCACGACGTATGTCTTGCTAAAGGCATGGAAAAGGAATTCAGGAACCAAGAAGAAGAGGGAACTTAGGAGATGGAGAAGAAGAGGAGGACAAAGTTCAGAGGATGCTTTGAGCATATGACTGGACAATGCTGCAGGTACATAAAAGATGGCATAATAAGGATCTTCATCACCAATATCACTTTGTGTGATCTGCTGTGGATCTCCATTGCCACTCTCTATGACATTTTTTGTGCCACTTACTGCATCTCTCAAATGTCTGTTCCAGTGGCTATGACAAAAATATTAAGTGATTGCAATTGTGGGACTAGAATAAGAAAGTTAAGAAGTACTACCTAATTGATTGTGGAAGAATTAATTCTCCAATAAAGATGGGGGGTTAGGGATTAGAGACTTGAGTGTTCAACTAAGTTTTACTAGGGAAGTGTTTTTGGAAGTTTCAAATGGAGGATCAAACTTTATGGAGAAAAGCTATTGGTGAGAAATATGGCGTCCAAATGGTGGGTTGGAGGACTATTCAGATCATTTTGCCATGTAAAGCAGCTCTGTGGAAGAGTATAATGAAAGTATAAGAGAATTTTTACTGGAATATCAGTTTTAAAATAGACAATGGAGCTAAAATCACTTTTGGAAATAAAGATGATGTGGTGATGTCTCTTCATGTAAAGCTATCTGATCCATTTTCAATATGTTTAGCCGGCAAACAGCAGCAATCGCACAAATTGGTAAATAACAGGGCGGAGGAATCTTATCGACCTGAACCTTAGGAGAAACTTGTAGAATTGGGAAATTGATGAGCTGAATTGCTTGATTGGATTATTATTGAAGCAAAAAATATCACTCATAGACAGAAAGCAGGGAGATGGAAGGGCAGGAGGATGGTATTTCTCAACAAAGTCAATTTATAATATACATATTACTTTTCTCGCTCAATTTGGATCCCAGAGCATTGAGAAAATTGGACTTTTTCTAAACAGCAGTCAGCGCGGGAAGCCACTCTGATAAAAGAGGATTTAGGAAAGGGAGGACAGACTATCAGTTGGTAATTCATGTGACAGGAAGCAGAAGAAGGTGTAAACCATTTATTGCTGAATCGTCCGACTGCATACATAAATGGTGTAGAATATGGAATATTTTGCGAGTTGAATGGATGATGTCATGAATCATTAGAGGTGGAAGCTTAAGAAAGAAGAGACAGAGAAAAAGAGTGATGGGAAGAGGCTCCTTTGGCACTCATATGGACCATTTGGAGTAACTGAATTGCTTTTGGAGAGTGGAAATAACCTTGTAGAAGTTGGTGGAACCTTATAGTTCTTTTACACATTTGGAGCATATGATGTTTAAAAAAGTGTCTATACAGTATGCTCTTAGTGGAGAATACAATTTTTTTTATATACTGTTTTCTTTAATAAAATCTTACCTTATCCAAAAAAAAAAAAAAGAACGAAAAAGAATACATTTTTTGTGTAAAACTCTCTACTCTGGTTTATATCTTGCATGTGGGATTTCCTCATCGAATCAGTGAATTTTAGCTTCATAAAGAGAAAATATTGCCATGAAAGACGAGAAAAAAATGTTGTTTAGTTTGTATCCCTAAAAGAACCTTTCTTAAATGTGACATGCACTGGTTCCTTAGGTATGGTATCCCTTATCAAAAACACTTGCTGAAAAAGCTTCTTGGGAATTTGCCAAGGAAGAAGATTTGGATATTGTTGTGGTGAATCCAGGAACTGTAATGGGTCCCATGCTCCCACCAACTCTTAATGCCAGCATGCTCATGATTCTTCGTCTTCTTCAAGGTAACATTGAGTAATGATCTCTACTCCTAGGTTTAACATGTCTCATTCTAGATTGTCATTCCCATCTTTGTTGGTGGTGTCCTCAACATGACATGCCTTGTCATTTTATTTATGCTCAGGCTGCACCGCTACATATGAAGATTTCTTTATGGGACTAGTCCATGTCAAGGATGTGGCGTTAGCTCATATTCTTGCTTATGAAAACAATTCAGCAAAAGGAAGGCACTTGTGTGTTGAAGCCATAACTCACTATGGTGACTTTGCCGCTAAGGTTGCAGAGCTTTACCCTGAATATAACATTCCTCGGTAATACTTTTTAATCTAACCTTCTTGAGGAGTGAATATTTTGTGTGATCCTAGAGCTGTAGTAAAAAAATAGTTATTTTCACTGTCACGTTTTGCTCGTCTTGATCAGGTTGCCAAAAGATACTCAACCTGGACTATTAAGGGCCAAGGATGGAGGTAAGAAGTTGATGGATTTGGGACTACAATTTATTGACATGGAGCAAATAATTAGGGACTCTGTTGAGAGTTTGAAGATCAAGGGCTTTATTTCTTAAATGTCCATAGCTGGAACTACAGTGGCATCTTCGATCAACTTGTACTAGCTGTAAGGAAATAAAACTATTTGTAATTTGACCTTTTCATATGACGTGATTTGTCATTTCAAGTCAACATCTTGAAATAAAACAAGAAAGTCACAATTTGAATCTAAGCTTTCTAAATAAATAATAAGGGAAATTACAAGTAAGTTAATACAAAATTAGCCAATTTGTTAAATATTACCAATATTAGCCAATTAGCTTTTTGTAGCCAAAAAGATATTAAATTTTTTCGTGGGTGTTATTGGAATAGATTGAATACATCTTAAAGAGTTTAAATCTCAGTTTTGGGATGATTTTGGTAGAGTTTTGAAGTGGTTTGAATTGAAAATACAAGGTAGAAGATGAACATTAAAAAAAATGTGTATTACAATGTGTATCATTTGTGTATCACATATGTATCATATTTGTATCAAACGTGTATCACATGTATATCCATGTATATCTGTTGTGGGCACTTAATTTTTGACCATATTTAGATTTTTCACCAATTTTTAGTATGTAAATAATTTTAAGTTTAATTTACATGTTTTAACTTTTATTTTATCTTTTTATAAGAAAATTGAAAATTGAAGGAGTCACATTTTAGTATAGGTTTTATTTTCATTTACAAAGAAAGAAAAGTTTCCAAAAAATAGTTTATTTAGTTTAGTGTAATTTGTAAGTTAGAGGTTTTAATAAATGAACATTGAGTAATTAGTATTTGATCTTGCTATTTTAATTTAATAGTAGTATTTTATCTTATTAAAAAAAAGAAAAAAGAAAAGAAAATGGTATTTCAAGTGGTTCCTGTTTTCCTGTAATCACGTGCCCTTCCGCTCATTTTATTTTATTTTATTCAAAGATTCTTTATCTTTTGAACCAATATACTTTGGCCACCTCACATTCTGCATTATTTCCTTCCAATGGACTCGCAGATTCCATTTTGGAGATATATATTTTATCTTTCAGTTTTATTAGGATTTTCTCCATATTTATCATTTCCCCCCACGTACTAATACCCATAATTCACAATTTCACATACACCTGCACTAGTTTGGGTAGGGACCACACGTTTTCTCCTTATTCCTTTCTTGCTCTCCAAAGCTCATAGAGCTACATAATAAACACACACACACAAGGCAGGAAAAAAAAAACGGAGGACGAAACAGAACTGAAAAAAAGGTAAGGAAAAAACCCAAAGAAAAAGGGTGAGTGTCTTCTTCTTCCTTGAGCAAAACAGCCGCAGCTCCTCCAGTTTTCTCCCTTAGAAAGCCATATTTCACCATATAAACTCATCTCTTCTCCTCCACAAAGACCCAACATCTTTCTCCAATGGAAGTAGCTCACAAAGCTTCATGAAAATGCCTCCATGGATGTCATAGCTCGTCCTTTTAAGCTCCATAAAAACGCATAGCCGTAGCCTCCAAATATTTCATCTTCTTTCTCGTCTGCTTCTCCTCCTTCATTGTTAATTGAGCTAGATTATGCCAAGTATAACAGTAATTCACACATGCAAGTGGCCATGGCAGTGACTAGCGAGAGAGAAGATCAGAGGGAGAAAAAGCTTCTAGATTTTTCAGTTAGATTTGTTTTGTACAACTTAGATCCGTATCTCTCTTTCTTCTATTTAACTATATTTCTACTTCACTATTTCCTATTATTTACACTTCACTCCCTTCTACTTTCTGGTATGCTTCCTTTAACCCTTTTTACTTCAATACTCCCATTCAAGCTGGGTAGTGGAAAACATCAAACACTCCAAGCTTGGACATAAGTGACTGGTGCTGCACTGGACCTAACCCCTTGGTCATCAGATCAGCTAGCTGCATTTTGGTGGAGATATATTGTGGTGTGATCAATCCACTTGACAAGAGTAGGTTGCTCTAGTGGTAAGCACCCTCCACTTCCAACCAAGAGGTTGTGAGTTCTAGTCACCCCAAGAGCAAGGTGGGGAATTCTTGGAGGGAGGGAGCCGAGGGTCTATCGGAAACAGTCTCTCTACCTCAGGGTAGGTTTAAGGTCTGCGTACACCTACCCTCCCCAGACCCCACTAGTGGAATTATACTGGGTTGTTGTTGTTGTTGTGATCAATCCACTCTTGAGCTTTTCTCTCACGAAATGACAATCTATCTCTATGTGTTTAGTCTTTTCATGGAATATAGGATTTGCAGCTATTTGCATTGCTGCCTTGTTGTCACAATGCAAATTCACTGGTGTCTGTACTTTGTTTCCAAGGTCCTCCAGTAAACCAACCATCCAAATGATCTCCGCTACTGCAGCTACCATGCTCCTGTACTCTGCTTCTGCTAACGGTCTGCTGCTTCTTGGATTTCCATGACAATAAGGACTCACCTAGCTTAATAACATAACCTGTTACAGACCTTCTTGTATTGGGACAAGATGCCCAATCCGAGTCACAAAAACCAGTGAGTGTTTGAGTCTCTCCTTTCTTCAGTAATATCCCTAAGCCTGGTGCCCCTTTAATGTATTTGACCACTCTCAGTGCTGCATCCATATGTGACCTTTTGGGTTGTTGCATGAATTAGCTTAAAACCTGTACTGCAAAGCATATATATCAAGTCTTGTAATAGTCAAATAAAGCAACTTCCCAACTAGCCTTTGATAGGCGCCCACTTCTTCCAGTTGTGCATCATCTGTTCTGTCAACATGATTGTCATAATTCACTGTAGTAAGTTTGTGATTCAGCTCCATTGGTGTTGCAACAGGTTTGCAACCACTCAATCCTGCATCAGAAATCAATTCTAGTGCATATTTTCTCTGGTTCAGAAGAACACCCTCCTTTGATCTCATGACTTCAATTCCCAGGAAATATCTGAGTTCCCTTAGGTCTTTAACCTTAAAGCACTTATGTAAAGTACTCTTAGCTTCTTCTATCAAAAACTTAGAGCTTCCTGTTATCAAAAGGTCATCCACATAAATAAGGATGATCACAATGTCTGTTTCATGCTTCTTGGTAAAAAGAGAATGATCATGGGCACTCTATGTGTATCCAGCATCCAACAGGGCAGTGGTGAGCTTTATGTTCCACTGTCTTGATGCATGCTTCAGCCCATAGAGGGATTTTAATAGCCGGCAGACCTGATACTCCCCTTGCTTTTGAAATCCCTGTAGAAGTTCCATGTATACCTCCTCAGCCAAGTCTCCCTGAAGGAAAGCATTGTTGACATCCATTTGGAAAAGATGCCAACCTTTAGATGCAGCCACACTGATAACAGTGCGTACAGTAACCATTTTAGCTAGCTGAGAAAATGTCTCATGGTAATCCAAGCCTTCCTGTTGAGTATAGCCTTTTGCAACAAGTCGCTCTTTAAACTTGTCCACTTCACCATTGGATTTATATTTGATCTTGTAAATCCATTTTGATCCAATTAGTTTCTTGCGAGGAGGCAAAGACACAACCTCCCAAGTGGAGTTGTCCTCAAGATCTTTGATCTCCTGCTTCATAGCTTCTATCCACTGCTGATGTTGAGCTGCCTCTTTGAAGGTTCTTGGTTCAGTCAATACTGAAAATACTCCCAGATAAGATTGGTAACTTGGAGAAAGA